CAGATCAGATGTGACACTGAAGAAAAGAAGGATGAAGAAGATAGCACACTGAGTGAAGGCAAAGCAGAGATTGCTATTTCACTGCAAAGAGACTTGCTTACTCAGTGCGGAATCCAAGCTTCCATTATCGGAATTATTACCCCATATGTTATGCAAGTATTAAGGAACATACCTAGCTAATAGAGTGAGACCTAAATACTAACTTGATAATTAGATATCATCCCTCTTCTTCCATTCGCTCCACAAAGTGACCAATATATGGATGTTTGATCTTTTAAATTTCAATTGTATTTCAGGCTGTATTACTAAAGATGTTGAGAAGCAATGAGAACAGACTAAAGGACATATCAACTGTGAATGTAGCTTCTTCTTGGTCCCCATCCCCACTTGGCCACTTCATACAAGTAAATGCAAGACGGATACTTCTTATTGTTCTAGAAGTGGCAGATTGGTCTACCGGTGGTTATGAGGGATGCTGGAGGACAGGTTATTAATTGGCATAGCCATTCAATATTGAGCCTTATCTGCCCTGGTAGAAGGGGCATTAGCTCTGTCTTACAGTGGGAAGGGCAATGGCAAATGGTTTTTCAAGAGTCATTTTTGAAGCAGGAAAAGTTAGCTTTGCAAATTGCTCCTGTTGTGGGATCAATATGGTGTACTTTGCTATCAACTTTTGAACGGTTTGATTTTGTGTGTGCCTGGAATAGTTAACAAAGCTACTTAATTGGTTTGCTCCTGGGGGCACTGTCTGTCTGTGGAATTGCGAAAATTATTGTATGTAGATGTTGCTCATTGCTAATGAAAGTTAGGCCTTTTGAAGTGGTCCAATTTACCGTTGGGCTTGGACTGGAAAGTTGAAAAAGTCTATAGGCTTGTTGTCCAATTTTGGAGGTCACTCGGGTCAGCCCAAGGGCTGAGTTTGGATGTCGGTATGTTGCTTCAATTCATTCCCTAAATAGGACATTTCTCTAAACCACTTTTTTTCCAACTTTCTATTCATAAACTTTTAATTTTGGTATCAAAATTGGTGGAATTTTAAAGCCGCTCTAAACTACTTTTAGTTGCAGTCAAAAAGCCAGTCAAAAAGAAAAGAAAAGGCTCCTCCCCACTACTTTTAAAAAGACAAAAAAAAAAAAGTTGCTTTCTACCAAACTCTTGATCTTTACAAACTTTGGACTTAATGAAGGATCCAAAACTTTTCTAATCAGTGCTAAAGTAAAGCTTATCTCTAAACCTTCTTTTGCAATATTTTATCCATAAGCTTTGAACTTTGGTAACAAAATTAGTGAAATATTAAAGCTCCTCCCCACTATTTTCCAAAAGAAATAAAAGAAGATGCTCCATGTCAAACTCTTTAGCTTTACTAACTTCTGATTTATTGAAAGTTCCTAAAAGTTTTAAATCAGAACCAAAACAGGGCTTATCTCTAAACCTTCTTTCCACTATTTTCAAAAAGACCATAAAAAAGCTGCTCTACAAACTTTTGATTAATTTTTAATCAGTATTAAAATAGATCTTATCTTTAAATCATTTTTTCACTATTTTCAAAAAGACAAAAAAATATAAAAAAAAAAGCTGCTCCCCACCAAACTCTTGCTTTTCACGAACTTTTGATTCGATGAACATCCCTAAACTTTGTAATCAGTGCTAAAAT